ACTTTTGATTAGTAACTTAGCAGGTAAGCTACATATAATCTTACCTTCCATTCTATCCTAATTTCTTTGAATATGAGTTATAGAGAAATTGAATAGGTGAAATTTTAGGGGTTTGATTCTTACCTAATAGTAATAAAAGGTTATTAGGAGTTAAATTAGAGCTTTGCAACTAGTTTAAAGCTGAACGATAGAGCTTTAAACCCGTAGGCTTAAGTTGGCCCTGATTCAATGAGATTTTAGGGAGGAAATTTTTTTAACTAAGATGAGACCAGTTGAGATGATGTAAGTAGTAATTGAGTAGTAATAGACCTAGAACGGATAAATGGAAAAGAATAGGTAACTAAATGTAGCCATAAGTAGTAATTATGTGCTTTTGATCAAATTGGACCAATTGACTAAATAATGCCAATTGTGTTTAGATTAGCATATCGCACATGTGAGTAGAGAAAGGAAGTTTGTGATGAGTAATAGTGGTAATTAAAATTCATGGGTAACCTTTGTAGTGACAGAAGGGTTGAGATAACCGAATAACTTCCTCTATTAGACCATTTATGGTAATTGTGTATGAGTATGCTATGTAGTGCATGAAATTATTTTGAACTAAGCACGTTTTATAGCATTGAATATTTATTGCATAAAAAGGAATTTTGGTTAAACAAGTAATGAAATTGTGTAATTTGATATGGAAATGTGTATATATATATGAGTAAAATGGTAATTGAGAACCTATGATTGATTCGGAAAACATGATCAAAGGGGTGGGAGTTCACTGGTGCCGAGTGTGGTGACAAGACCATATGGCATATTCTCCTTAGTGCTCAACGAGATGCAGTGTTGGAGAATTATACCTCCTTAGTGCCTTTTGAGGTGCGGTGTTAGAAATGATCTCCTTAGTGGCTATTGAGGTGCGGTGTTAAAGATTTGGGACTTCTTAGTGTTGAGTGATATAGTGTTGGAGTCAACGATATTCCATTATATGTATTGGGAGAAACTATAGTTTGGAAGTGAAATAGAACATCTTTGGCCAGGTGATTCTACTACTAAAGGTGAGCTCAAGGCCAATGAGATTGTATATTGGTCTAAGGTGAGTCTATAGTTTCAAGTCAGGATGATTTGTAGGTTTGGTCAATAATGATCATATTATATGTTATATATGTGAAAAAGTGGTGAAAGTGGCGATTATAGTGGTAAAAGAAGCAAATTGATGCCTATTGTTGTGAATTGAAATAAAATATCTGATATGTATTATGTGCTATGTTGAAAGATATATTATGTTTTACTTTTATATTATTGCGCGTGATAGTCAATAGGAGTGAGTTATTCCGTTACTAAGATTATTATCTCACCTTGGTGGTTACATTTTTACATGATAAAGCAATGATTAGGGCAAAGGAAAAGAGTAAGGACTGGCTTAGAGTTGTTGAAGTCATGTGAACTCAGAATATTGTGTAATGAACTAAAAAATTGAGAATATATATGTAAATAAGTTGCCATAGGAGATTGCATGCATGGTTGAGTTGTGTTTTGTCGGAAGTGTAAAAATTATAATGAATGTTGTGAGTTTTTGGTGAATCTTAGCCCATGTATGGAATTATAAGGAATAATTTAAGACTAAAATTGAGTTGTGATTATGTTAAATATGGATAGATGTGATTTTAATGGTAAAACGGGCCAAGTGGGCTGAGTTAAGTTATGCCAAATCTATGAAATGTGAAAATTGGCCATTAAAGGGTTAAATTTCAATATATGTGAATATATGTGATATATTATGATTAATCAAGTGTGTTAGGTCCTTTTGAACTTGATTCAAGGCCTTGTGTGGTCTAATAAGACAAATGAATCGATTTGAGCGCTTGAGTATGTGAAATTTTTATAAAAAGTAATTTTTTACACTCAAGTGTCTAAATTTTAATCAGACCATTAAATTGTGTCTAAACTTATCTCATTAGCTAGCTTATGAGATAAGCTTCGTGTGGACTTTTGAATAACTTTGATTAGACATCGTATGTGAAAACAGCGCACACCAAAAGTTCATTATTTTTGCTACCAAATGACAGCACAAATTCAGACTACTGCGCCGCAGCGTATGGCATCTCACACCACGACGTATGACATAAAAGGTTAGGCATGTGGCTCTATACCACATGTCGCGACGCATATATTGCATACCATGATGCATAACTCAAAATCAAACCTTATTCCTTCATTGTAAATGCATGCAATGAGTGTTATGGATGCAACTGTTTGCCTTTCGCTATGAGTTACTCTGATGTGTTATAAATTTAATGATTTTGTAAAATGAGTCTTAAGCTTAAGCTTTTCAAATAAGGTATTTGATTAAGTGTGTGTGATGATTTGGTTAATCTTCTCCTATATCTGGAGAATATGGGAGGAGGTTACAAAAGCAAACTTAACTTAATTAATCAACCAATTTAACTAATTTATCCTTGCTTAGTAATGAAATTCTTGATTGAAATTTAGGATGTTACACTATTATCTTCCATTAAGCAAATCTTAAGTCCTAATCACCCCTCACAAGTGTCCCACAACTTCTACTAACTCTATTAACATAAATTCATGGTTTTCACTTTGAACCTTCCTCTTTAAAGCCATAATTTAGCCAAAGTCCCATAACTCAATCAGCAACTACCAATCTAGTCGCAAATCTTTAATTTAACTTCCAACAACCCTATAATGGCCATTTGATTAGATAAAACCCTTGTACAAACTAAAAACTCAATTCTTTTAACATCTCAAACTAAGAGAAAATGAAGTAAAAAGGGAGAGGAAAGAGGTATAAGGCTTACCTGAAAGATGATAAGTCGGAAACCACTTCCTAGTGCTTGAAAATTGATACCCTACTAGATCAACCTTATTCTCCCTTGTTTTGTCATTCTCTTCCTCTTTCCCTTATGATTCTCATGTCTAAACCATGAATTTGAAGTCAAATTTTGTATTATATGCCACGCAACACGTGGCACAATGAAACACTTCTCACTCTAGCTCTCCTATTTTGCCCTCGTTAGCTCTACTTCTAACAAATCTTAATTATGCAAATGTTCAAGGATCCAAAATGTCAATATATGTTTCAAAAACACGATCAACTTAATTAATCCACTACTTTAATAATTTACTCTTAATTAATAATTAGTTTTTAAATAAAAAATTTAAGATGTTACACCACTAAAACTAGAGCGAGGAGAAGAACAATGAAGATGATAGCACACATGATTCCCTTCAAATTTTTTATGCCTAGATGTAAAAAACATAAGGGATGCCATGTCACAAGGTCAAAAAAGGGTCAAAACTTACACATTGGATACCAAGTCAACATAAAATGGAAAATAAATGGCACATTAATGGAAGGGTAATTTTCCTTCTCTAAAAAAAATAATTCAAGAGAAAAATTTCTCCATTTAACAGTTCGGATATCCAACATTACTCAAAATAAGGGAGAGGTATAATAGGACCTAGCTCCACAATAAAGTGCATGTTTGGATTACACTCTAACCTTAGTTAGAATAGGTGTAATTGAGGTTAGGATGCAAAATGCTAAAAAAAATTTGTTTGGATTAGCATAACTTTTCAACCTTAGTTAGCTTATAAACGTGCGTTATCTAAAAAGCCAATTGATCTGGCTTTTCCCTTCTCAGCGTTCACGTTTGCCTGTTGGAAGCATTAATTGCATTTTAAATTGTATTGCTTTCTCTCTCTTGTCTTCCATCTACCCGATCTGCGCCTTGCTTCTTGTGCATGCTGCTTTACCTATGACCTCCCATTCTACTTCAAAACACACTTCCAGATCTGCTTCCTTCGTCCAGTTGTCTGCTTCTTCAACCAGTCGTCTACTTCCTTCAATGCTGATCTCCAGCTTTCCACCGTGTCCCTGCTCTGATCTCCAGCTCTCTTCTGTTAATCATTTTTCTGTCGGGATATGGCATTCTCTCTTATCAAATTATCCTGTTGTCTTCATGTCACCACCACCTATCTCATGGATCCTATTCAGTTAAGCCCTCCCGCCCCAAAAGAAGAAAAGAAACCCTTATCTTTACATTCTATTTCAAGATAAAGAGCATCAAAAGAGCTAGTTCGAATATGCAGATCTATGGTCCTAGCATGCTTCCGATAATGGGTCCGACGCCTACCATTATATTGACAAAAAAGAACTCCCCCCGTTTTGGAAAAGTTGAGCATAGGGATATTGTTATTGTGCGGTCACTTGAAAACCCTCGGAAGTTGATGTGCAAGCACTTGCTTGGATTGGAGGGTGATGGTGTCACATTTCTCATCGATCCTAAGAACAGTGATAAATGCGAGATGTAGTGGTATCGTTGATTTCCCATGCACATTTTTCAGTTCCAGTTGATTCAGAAGGACTATTTTAAGAGTGATTTTGACATCTGTTGATTTGTATCTTCATGAATGGTTATGGAGATTTTGTTTGCTGAGTGTTTGCCTCACCTGCTTAGGTTCCCAAGGGACACGTTTGGATTTAGGGAGATAACATATATAACTCCTCGTTAAATCTACCCAGATCATCAAAACAGATGCAGCATGTTTGTGATATAATTAGAGATCAACTTATAACTCATATCAATTAAATATTAATTTATTTTAGGTTTTTATGATTGAATATTTAAGATATTTTACTTATTAGTTGTGATTTTAAGTTTAATGTTTTTTTACTTACTAGTTAGTCAAAAAAAATATAAACATACTTATTTAAAATTTAATATTTAAGATAAAAAAATTTATGTTTATTTTATTATTAAACATTTCAACATGCTTTTGAATTAAACCATTCAAACGAATTTCAGTTTATCTGACTGACTTTTAAAATAAATATTATCTAAATATAAATTACGTTACATCAACTGACTTTTTTTCTAACCTCAATTTATTAACTTCAGTTAATTTTTTAATCCAAACACACAAAAATTCTCGGATTGGGACTCTCTTGTCTCCCATGATTCATGATTTCATTCCATCCCGCGGTTTGCCCATCTCCTTCGATTCCATAATAACCAAACAACTAAATCCATTTCATTTTCCTTCTTTGGCGAATGAAAAATTGAAAACCCCTGCTCTCTTGCTCCGGGGTTTTAGGCGTCGGCTTCTACTGGGTAAAGGCTATTACTTCAGAGGGTTCCATGGCCAAGCCATTGTTGACTCTTGATAATGGCACCACCTGCTCTTCCTGGAACTACTGTGGTGAGAGACTCGCTGCTGGTTCCGCCGATGGAACACTTTCCATCTTTGATTGTCGCGACCCAGCGTCCTCTTCCTCCCTCCAATCTACATTCAAGTCTAAGGTTTGTCTTCCCCTGGTTCCTTTTTTTTTTTTGGCCTTTTAATTCATTAATGCTTACCAACTGTTCGATTACATGTTCGTCAGTAGTTGTACTGTACAAACCATCAAGCTGTTTGCAGTCTCAAGAGTTCTTTTTGTTTTTTGTTTTTTTGGCCAGTATGAGAATTATGTTATGGGTGGATGGATTACTAACAAAGCATGGTCTTCATCTGGCCGGTTCCCAAATTTGCAAAATGCTTTCCCTTGAAGTGATTATTTTCCTCAGCCGCTTCTTTTACTCGTGACATTTTTGGGCCCAAAATTCGATATTAAAATGCATTTCCTTCTGTTTTTACTTTATGCGTTGGCTACTCCTTGTCTTCTGGATAATATTTATTTTGGACTAGATTAATTTATATGTATATCAGCAGGCATTTTATTTTTTTTCCATCGACCCTCAAATTGTGTATGCATACTGTGCCTGGTGTGACCTTTGTAAGGCATGGAATAAGTTCCACATTAGAAGTATGGAATGCTGATGCAGGGTTTATATAGACTTTTGGGCTCTTCAGTCTCAACAGCTAGCATTTTCGGAGTGGCTTTTTCCTAAGGTTCATGTTAACCTTCTGCTAATCTCTGTTCCTTTTCTCGTCTCCTCTCCCTCTTGCTTGTTTGTGGATTCTTGGTTACGAAGCCGTTTCTTCTCCTCCCCATCTCGCCTATGCCTTGGTGCTTGGTTATGGAGTGTGGTGGAAAGTTTTTACCATTGCAAGGCATGGGACTTGAGTTCCATGTTGAACATATATGAATCTATTGTTCGGTTTAAATAACGTTGGGATTTCCAACTTCATGAGCTAGGTTTTAGGTCTGCTTTCCAAGTTCATATCAGTGACATACATTATTTAGGACTCAGACCTGTAGCAGAGTTATTTTTATATTAAAAGCAAGGCACTGACATCCATGAAGCATTAATTTGTTGCTTGATCCATTTTCTGTAGATATCTTTCTCTGATATTTTCTTCAATCACATCTGGTAACCTATTTGTCAACTTTCTTTTATTGGAACTCTGCAGATTTATGAAGGAAACATGGTGAAGATTGTTTGGCTTCCTCCAGAGCATGGGGATGCAGTTGCATGTAGTTTTGCTGATGGAATTATGTCTTTGTGGGAGGAAGTTGCAGAAGGTACCAATGGTTGGATTTCTTGCTTGAGTTAAGAAAATTTGTGTCTTTTGATGGAAGGTGGAAACAGAGTTGCTGGTTTGTTTTGTCAGTAATAAAGTTTTTTGTTTTTGGGTGTTGGGGGGTGGGAGCTGGGGGAATGATAGTCATATAATATTGTCTATACAAGCTCTGTTAATTGATATATTGGTTGTTCCTTGCGCTAGTTATTCTAAATATATAAATTGAGTTTGCATGCATATTTTGTTTGGAGCTTGCGGCATTTCATTTTATCAAACACACATAAAAGAACCTTATTTAATAAATACTCAAAGCCAAATAGATGTTGTCACAATTTCTTTTTTTAATTTATGTAGACTCTCAGCCTTTTCAGTGGAAGATGTGCAAAAGCTTTGGAAGCAGTTCAAGCAAAGTCCTTGATGTTCAGTTTGGAATGTCTTTGACTATATTGAAAATGGTAAACTTTTGCAGTAGTTAATGCTTTGAATTGATAATATAATTTAACTAGAATATGAACTTCATATTTCTGTACTCATGCTTTTTTAGTTGTCAATTGTTATGAGATATGTGTACTCAGATCACCTAGGTAAAATTTATCTTTTTTACATGAATAAATTTTATGTATTGTTGATGATCTCGCACAAATTCTTTGACTACCATATGAATGCTTTAGGTGGCTGCATATTCAGACGGTTATGTGAGAGTGTATGAGCTCTTGGATCCATTGGAATTGAAAAGCTGGCAGCTTCAGGTGACCTCCTACCTTTTAATCAATAATACCCCGCCTCTTTGAGTCATACAATAGAAGGTCAACGTATTCTTGTTGCAAGAATAATGATTTTTATCTTCTTTCATTTGTTCTTTCTGTGCAGGCTGAATTTCAGAATGTAATTGACTTGGTATCTGCATTTGGGAAGGCTGCATGCTTCTCTGCATCCATATCTTGGAATCCCCAGAAAGGTGGAAGCCAGGAATCCAGCTTTATTATAGGTTACAATTCAAATACATCAGAGCTCAACTCGTCTAAGGTAGTTCAAGTCTGCAATGGTGCACTGGTTATAATTTATTATATTTGTCACAGCAATCTCCATTTGTCCAAGGCATGATCAGGGGTATTCTGGGATTCAGAACTCGCTCTTTGAATGACTGTGTTTAGCCTTTAAATTACAAGCTTTAGCAATGGGAAAGATATTGGCATTATAGTGGATGTAATTTTTTTTTTTTAAACACATCTTTTAATATGCATCTGAGTGCTTGTGTTTTACCTCAGGTTTGGGAATTCGATCAGGCTCATCAAAGATGGCTTCCGGTGGCTGAACTGGCACTGCCTGAGGACAAGGGTGATCAGGTTTATGCTGTTGCATGGGCGCCAAACATTGGCAGGTAAGGATACAAATATAGCATAATTGGCATCAAAGTTCTGGTGATTGGAACTCAACAGTAATATTCCACTAAAAGAGGATTAATCAGTACAACCCTCTTCTATGGTGTAAGGAAGAGGTGAAAGACAGCAAAATGACTAATCAATCCTAACTACACCACTAGAAATAAAGGGAACAGTAACCAAATGAGCAAGATAGTGAACTTCCCTGACTTTTGAGAGATCAGAGGCTCTCCCAAGACTCCATACTCAATCTGCCTCCCCCTAGGGCACACAACCCTAGAAAACTAACTCTGATTCCCTTACTCTGGGCTGGTACTGTGTTTTGGGCCCTTTCGGCCCAATTCAGGTTGCCGAGGTGCATTCTTAGCTCTAGTCTCCTGTCTTTTGTATGCTTGGCCCACCTTACTAATGGGCTCCTAGCTGGATTGCTGTGACTTTTGGATAGGCATGAAATTCAGACTTTAACTGTGACAACCATGCTATAATGTAACTATAAGTGAGGAAGTTAGTACTAGTTCGCTCAGTTTGTAGTTATTTTCAGTTCTATTGTATTTCGTTGCTAAGGAAATGTGAAAGAAATCCATCGGTTATATTAATTAGCATAACTAGGATGATTTTCTGGTAGACCGTACGAGACAATTGCAGTTGCAACTCACAAGGGACTTGCAATATGGCACCTTGGATTGAACCCTCATGATGGGAGGCTCCCAGTTGAGAGAATTGCACTCTTGTCAGGACACGAGGGCGAGGTATGGTTGCTATGTTAATGACATTCTCTCTGTTTATATTGTCATCATGGGACTTGAATATATATTTTAAATCAAGGGATAATGCAACTTTTAGTCCTGTATATTTGGGAGGGTTATTGATTTGGTCTTTTAAGTTTAATGTTTATCATTTTAGGTCTTAACGTTTCATAAACTTATTTAAGTAGTCCTCAATCTCAGGAGAGAAATTAACATCGTTAAATTATGCTAACATGGTTAGTGGAATGATGATGTGGCAGCCATATGGATTAATAACGTAGGAAGTAAGAATGCTGACATGGATAATGAAAAAGCACCACATTTAGGAAAAAGGCCACGAAGATTAAAAAAAACCCACTTAAATTAGATTAAGAATTAAAAACTAGTAAAATGAATAATACACCAGTAATTATGATTGGGAGATTTTGCTTATATGCATTAATAATCTGTGTGTATGTTCCATATCAGCAACTTAATTTACACATCAACTCTTTTTTAGGGCTAAAAAGTTGTCTTGCAAAACTTAGAGCATTAACTCTAATTAAGGCAGACGTTAAAGATTGGAATGATAAAAATTAAATTTAAAGAATCAAATTAATAACCTCCCACAAACATAAGGGACTAAAAGTTGCATTATTCTTTAAATCAATATAATTTTGTTTTCTTTCAAATATAATTTTATTTCGTGGCATGAAATTTACACAAATATAGTTGGAAGAAAAAGTAATAGAAGCATGCATGTTTTGCTGAAATTGAGAGGATGTATTTCTTTAAATTTTTTGATTAGGTGTGGCAGATGGAATGGGATATGAGTGGAATGACTCTGGCTACTACAGGTCATGATGGAATGGTTCGGTTGTGGCAATCTAACCTCAACGGTGCTTGGCATCAGCAGGCTGCTTTACAGCCCACCTCTTAGTCCTTTTACTCCTCTTGTACTTAACCATTTCCATATGGTAAACAAGTCTCTTCAGGTTTTTTGGCCTCTGTGGGGATGCTTAGAAACACTAATTAATTATTGTTGCTCCTGCCATTCGATTCAGGTTAAGTTTGTTCTTGAGGAAAGCGAGTGAATCGAATCCCCCTCCCTCAGAAGAAAAGAAAAAATAGCGTATATGTGTACAAGCTTCTTTGACATGGAGCTGTGTGTGTCGTCTTGATGTCTCCAAAATCAAATATATATTCAATGAGATGCAAACCTTTTTCCATTGAAGTCTAATGCTTGAAAGGTTATGGATATGTTTGAATTTGATCTGTTTCTTCATGTGGGAAATGCTCGCTGCCTTGCAGTTCATGTACGTTTTCAACTGTTTTTGTAACTAGCAGTTCGTGGTTTCTATGGCAGAGAACTAAAACCTAGAATTATAGGAATATAACTATATTTAGTTTCAAAAATAATCAGTGGAGATGATGAAAGAGATGAAATTCAAGACTGATTATTGATGAATTGCAACCATATTGAACTATTTCAATGACATTTTTATTTGAAATCATATGATGGGCTGTGCTGTTCATTGCTATGGAGTCTCAAAGGAGTGCAACATGAAAAAAAAATTTGGTTGGTGGTGGGGATTTATGCCTTGCATTATTATTTGAGAGTTCTTATCTTCTAGAACAAAAGAATTATTATTTTAAATTTATTAAATTACTAGTAGGATAATGTTTTTTATTGTTATTTATTATGTTTAAGTTATGAATAGTGTGTTTTTTTTTAATTTTTTTTAAAATGTATAGAAAATGTGTCTAGCTGTCTTCCAACAAATAAAACATTGGGATAGTAAAATTTTCAATCACTCAAACTTGTTTTAAATATCAACTTAGTTTTTCAAGTTTAATTTTTATTGATTTATTTTTTTTATATTTTCTTAAATTATCATATTAATTCTTTAAATTTTAAAACATAAGTTAACTTTCAAATTAATCTAATATGTAAATATATTGATGACTTAATATTATATGTAATTAAATGAGAACAAAACAGTCCTCAAATCAACTTAATTTTTATCAATCTAATATCTTGCATTTTGTTCTTTTATTTTCAATAATATTGAAGTCTATATTTTTACATAAATAATTATATTTTTTTCATTAACATACGTGGTACTATCAATATTCTCTTATTTTATGGCAATAAATTTTAACAGTGTTATATTTTCTTTAAATAATAAAGACTAAATTGATAACTGAGGTAAATTTAAAGAATCAAACTAACAAACATAAAACTTGAATTAGTAATGTGAAACGCGAACCGGATTAGATGATCTGACCACCACTTGTTAAACAAAATAGCTTGGTTCAATCAGTTGAACCAATATGACATTTGAACTAGGTTGTCCTGACCGGTTTTAAGAGAGTCGGCTTTAATACAAAAATAGGACCAGGTCAACCCAATTCAAAGCTAAAAAAGAAAAGAAATGTAGGCTAAATCTCTCATATTCGTGATTTCTCTTTTCTAATATCTAACCTCTAATTCTCTTTTGTCTTTTCTTTTCTAATATCTGATTTCTCCTTTATGCTTCAGGTTCAATCTCTAACTTCTCCTCCAATCTTTGCCTCCAACTCTAGTGATCTAGCCCCTAACATTGAGATCAGAAGCTCGTGAATTATGACATGACGGCGTGCCTCTAGCTCCAACATTTTCCTTCGAGATGGTGAACTTGTGGAGATTTGCCTCAGTCTCCAGCTCTACCAATCCAAGCATCTGGCTTTCGATGTCAAGATCCCAAGCACCATAGACAAATTAATGTTTTATTTATATATTTGTGTATATAAATATTATTTTTTATTTAATTTTTATGTCACTGTTCAATCGTCGATCTAACTAGTTGAACCATGAAAATCATGACCCGTCGCTCTTTTCTGGTTCGATGTTTGATCCTAGTTTCAAGACATTGCTTGAATGATCAAATCAATAATTTAAGTAAATTTAAGGGACTAAAAATTTTACTATCTCCAAAATATTTTTGGTTACAAAAAGCTAGGGTGAGTTCGATTTTGAAACTTACCGGGATTAATATTTATAGAATTACTTATAAATTGCTCATTAATACACATGTTTTAAACTTTTAACTTTGTGGATAATGATTAAAATTCTTACTTAGACCAATTTTTTGTTTACAAGTAAAACATATTTTAAAATTGATGTAAGATGAATCGGTTGTCAAGAGTTCTATTTTCTTTTCTTTTTTTTTAACTGAAAACAATGTATTTATAAAGCTTCAAGAAAATAAAGTATCATTTTGTTTAAAATCATGATATGTTTTTAATGTAAAACCAACTGAAATACATATTAATATTGGGATAATTAAAAAATAGACTAAATTCGAATGATTAAAAAATTGGGGCTTTTAATGATATAACCTATGTTATAAGATCAAATTAAATAAATAACATAATATTTATTATATTTTGCTATATTTGTCAATGAAATACCGTTATATATCAATAATAAATATTTTATATATCAATATAAACTGGTTATACTCTTGAATTTTAAAAAATTTGGTTCATAGTTTTTGAATAAAAGATTTTTTTTTGGCCAATAATTAAAAAATTATAATAGATCAAGTTAAAAGTTCAGAAGAGGCTATGGTTTATTCATGAAATAATGATATATTAGATAGAACAATGTAGAGGGGGCTGAAATTGATTATGGTTTCATTTCACATTTTAGTTTCCATTATTGCTTTCACTTCCAGCAAAATATGAAGGCTATGGAAGCGGAAACAAGTTGGAGAAGTCAGTCGAGAACATTTGGAGAAGGTTCTGCTGGATCTAAAAATACCATAACCACGAATTTAGTCCAAATTTAAATCCTTACTGATACAACATAACATGTCTTTTGGTACATATATTAAAGAGAGAATTTGAATTAGGGCTCTTATAATGAAACCAATCACATGCAAGACTCGATTATGAAACTCTTCTGAAGGCCCAAGGGTCTTAATGGCAATTTAATTTTTTGATTCATTTACTAAAATACCCTTAATTTATATGAATATAAAACAAAAACCTAATTGTTGCCCGCAAAGGCTGAACCTCCATCGCCAATCACTGGTGCTCTAGCACTAGTGAGTGGTCAATGGTGGGTCAATTTAAGAAAGAAGCTTAGGGAGGAATGTAAAAGGGCCAAGACGAGAGTAAATTGAAAAAATTAAAATTTTGACAGATAATGAGTGAATTAAATGAGATAGAGAAGAAGCAATATGACAAATAATCAAGAGTATAAGAGAGAGAAGCTTGCGTAAGTGTTTATCTCAGTTCAATTCTAATCATTTGAACTTACATCCAGTTCCTAAGTTATACATGAAATTTCTCACCCCTTACTCTATTAAAATTAATCCGAGCTTTTGATTGTCATAATACAATATCATACTATAAGTTTGTATTACTCTCCCTTATAAAGGAAAATAAATGAATAGAGTATGTTCACCAAGTGAATAACTATAACAAATACTCTTTTTAAGAGTTAGATTTATAATCAATAAAATGTAAATACAACAAGTAATCACAAAAAGGTAGGTAATGGATTGAATATTTAAATTCGTGCAATAACTCTTCTATGTCCATTTTTATAAATGTGTATATTTATAGTTGAAGTTATTAATTAATCCATTAGACACGTCCAACTAGTCGTAAGACTCTTCTTCTACTTTAGTCTAAGCTTTTCCAAAAAGTAGAGTGTTTGCATAATGCTTTTCAGTGAAGTTACAAGCTTATGGCAGGTCAAAAAAATAAATGAATATATGCATTTAATGCTTTAATAAAATGTAGGTAAAAGAATACTGGCAGAACAAAATACAATATGAGTAATAAGGAAAGATTAAGATTTAATAAGTGTTTGAATCTTCCCAATATTGTATTTAGAAAGCTTGTAAGTGAATGAAAAGGTAACACAATATACTAAAATGGAAAGGAATAAATAAAACCTTGAATCGAAGCTTACAGAGATGAATACGAAAAACAAAGCCTTGTAATTGATATTAGTATCAGTGGTAATGGTGTTAATATTGGTAGTGACACGAACAAATATGAGAATAAGAAGTTAGGACAATACAAGTATTGCACAAGAATATGATTAGAGCTAATAAAGTACTAGTAGCGTTGACACACTATCTGAAGAGCTCATCATAAAAGATGTTAGCTCATAAGTCACACAATACCAAAAGTATTTGATGAATACCAGAATTGAGAACATAGTACCAGTAGAGTGATAGGAATATCGATAGAGATACTAAGAGAAAAACATGTGAAATAATCTTGGTAGGGAGCAACTACGATGGGCAAAAACACAATAGTACCAATAGTAACATACCAATACCAGTAATGTCAAGAAATGAGACAAAAATTCTCAGTAAGTCTTTAATACCAATAGAAAGTGTCTATTACCCAAAGTAATATGAATTCACAGTGAAGATCAACACCAATAAAAGTCTTTTCTACCCAAAAAAATTAAGGAATGGAATAAAATAAGGCTTTAAATGAATGAGTATTATCTAATACATTACTCATTGAGAAATTGAGAACAAAGGCTTTAGAATGAATACAGTTCATATAAGTACCGGTAGTGTTATGCTAATACTAGTAATGATACTTCAAAAAAACCAAAAGAAAATAAGAGATTAAAGCATTCAAACACATTTATACCTTAATTTCCATTTCCTTAAACTTAATTTATCCTGTTACACAAAGTATTTTCTAATTTGTTATTATAAAAACAGGGTTTAACAAAGATTTGATTTTTGACCCCTTGGGTATTAAAAAAAAGTGTTTCCACTGAACCACTAAATATCTTTAATTATATGTAGCAAAATATAATATATATATATATATATATATAAAGATATGCAGCAAAATATAATATATATATATATATATAATATTATAATTTGTTTTCAAGCATTTTTGTGACTTGTTGTTAGTCATGGATGTATTGTTATTCATATCCGAACAATCACTTATAAATATTTGAATATTACTTGTTCATACATAAACAATTTTAATTTTTAAAACCTAACTTTTTCAATTTTTTAATTTGTTATTCAACATTAACAAGTTATCAATATTATGCTAAATAAAAAATATGTGTGATGTAAATTTATTTTTCAAGCATTTTCATGGGCTTGGATTAATCGTGGATGCATTGTTGTTCATATCCAAACTTTGTTTAAAAAATAAATTTACATCACATATATTTTTTATTTAGCAT